GAGGATCTGACGAGGGACGGGATGCGTTATTTTGGCTAGCAGATAACTCTTCAATACGTTGAGTGGGAGGTCCCACTTTTACAACTATATCTTTAAGATATCACTCTGCAAGGAATACCTGTCGTCCGGGTTTCCAACTAATTTGATGTCATCCGCGTACAAAAGCAGGGGTTCTCGAAACCTGACGTTATGTCGTTGACATATACTAGAAGGAGAAGGGAAGCTAGAATGCATTCTTGTGGGCTCCCGCTCGTGGGGGAACCCACCTCCAACAGACATCCCCAAACACGCACCCTGTAGGTCCGCCCGGACAAGAACGTCCTAACCCAGTTACAGACTTTCGGATTAAGCTCGGTTTCTCGAAGCTTGAAATCTTACTTTACTTTTTTACTTTTCTTTACGGCGGCTGGCTGCTGGAAGAGGGTAAGCCGGCTTCATGGATATCTCGAATTGCCGCTGCCCACGCTCGGCAATCTGCGGCAAAATCAGCGCATATCGTGATCCAGTTTGACTTCCATTGGCGAACGCCGTAGACGGAGCGGAGACCAAGGTTTTCATTATCCTTTCGCACCGTGTCCAGACAGGTTTTCAGCTGTCCACTATGCCGACATCGCCAGTTCGGGCAAGGAGGCGGTGCAAAAATAGCTTTTGTCAGGTCGTTATCGGGCTTGCGAAGCATGTGGCCAAACCATTGCAGTCGTCGGCGTTGTATTACCGTTCTCAGCCGTGCAAGATTAAAACACCACTTCATTTGAGACTTGATCCCTCCATCGAACTTCCAGGATGATTCTTAAGCACCAGCGATCAAAGACTTCTAATCTGTGACAGTCTTTGACTCTGAGTGACCAGGTTTTGCAGCCGTACAGCAAAACAGGACGTACTGCTGCGGAGAAAACTCGGATTTTTGTCTTGCGGCTGATTTCATTTCTGCGCCAAAGGGAAATCTTCAACTGCAAAGACGGCCTTATTGGAGCATCGACGCGTATTTGCACCTCATCTTTAGCTTAGACGTAGGGGAGAATGTTTGAGCTCAAATATTTGAAGCTTTTGATGGATTCGATCCGCTCACCGTTTAGCAGTAAAGCATTCTCGGGATGAATAGGGACTGTCGTAAAGATTTTGTTTTGGATGTGTTCACCTCTAGGCCGATCTCGGAGGCCAGTCGATTGATGTGGTCAACGATTAATTGGAGGTTAGACATATCCTCGCCAAAGACGACAATATCATCCGCGAATTCTAAGTCGGTGAGCCATAAGTTCGGAGAGATCTGAACTCCCTGGTATCCTTCCATTGAACGACGCATTATCCAGCCCACGGCAAAGTTGAACAGCACTGGGGACAACGGGCACCCCTGTCGCTATCCAGATCCTAACCCGAACGGACAATATTCCTCTCCGTAGACATGGATTCGGGCGCAAGTGTTAGAATAGTAGGATCTCATTAGGTTGACAAGTTTGACTGGGAAACCATAGGCCAGAACTATGTTCCACAGGGATTCGCGATCTACGGAGTCAAATGCCGCACGAAAATCAATGAAGCAGACTGTCGTAGGTTGTTGAAACTTGTTGCGATGTTCCAAGAGTCGACGTAGAGTGAATATTTGATCGACGAAGCCCACACCGGGGCGGAATCCTTTCTGGTTAGGACGAGTGTGTGCATACCTTACTGCAGCAAAGTGGTTCAGAAAAAGTTGTGCAAAAACTTTGACCGCCACCTCCAGTAAGCTGATGTCTCTGCAGTTTTCGCACACTGATTTGTCACCCTTTTTGGAGAAGGGTAGTAAAATCGATGTGAACCAGTCACTTGGGCAAATTTCGGTTTCCCAGGTTGTACACAGTAAGCTATGAATAGATTTTAAACTGGCTGAAGAACACTTCGCATAGATTTCGGAGGGTATCCCGTCCTCACCGGGAGATTTCCATAGTTTGAGATGGCTGATGATATCTGAGACTTCTTCTACCGATGGCGGAGCGCAGTTAACTTCGTATGGAGAAGATGGCGAGGACGGCGCACACGGAAGTTGGAGTTGAGGACGGTTGAGAAGAAGACTGAAGTGTTCCACTCACCGAGACATTTTTCCCTGCGCATCGGAGATGAGCTCACCGAAGGCGCTGCGCAGCACAGAGTGGGTGACCTGATTCTTGCCCGATGCTGATCGAATAAGACGGAAGAGGGTCGTCGTGTTGCCCAGGTTGGCTGCTGCCTCCGTTTTAGTGGCCATTTCATTCCAATAGTTGCATCTATCGTTCCTGGCTGATCGCGTTGCTTGTCGCCTGAGATCACGATAAGCAGAGGATTGAGCTAGACGGGCCTGTCTGGCCGCATTAGCTAACTGGATGGTGTGACTGGATATCCAGTCATTTAGACGACGTGGTCTGGTGCCTAGTGCCTGTAGGGCAGGTCGTTGTATCGATGACTTCATCCTGGTCCACTGAGTTTCAACCGAGCTCCCTGTGTTACCTTGTGTACTGAGAGGGTCGTTTGACAGCTGTGCAGTTATCATGTCCATTAGTGTCTGGCATTTTTCGATGTTCTCCAGTGGAAGCACACCTAGGCGTTTTGAGGGGACGGACTTCCTGCAAGTTGTTAGATGGAGTCTAACTTTCGCGCGCACTATTACGTGATCAGATCCGCTTTGGTTCCCGCATTCAGCTCCGCGATAGGAATGACAGTATTCAATGGAAGAAACCCATCGTGAACGGACGAGAACGCAATACACAATCAATTATAATCGGCTGAGTAGTCTGTCACCATTCTCGCAGCGCTGGTCCAGGCCAAACCTCCCTGTGATGTGCTTCGTGGCCTCTGTTTTTGGACCAGTTCGGGCGTTCCAGTTCCCCGCTATGACAATTACATCCCGTTTGGGTATTTCATTGACAAGCGATTGAAGGCTGCTATAGAACTCATCCTTGACGTTTTTGTCAGATGAGAGAATCGGGGCGTAGGCAGCGATAACTGTGAGATTTACTGAGTGGTCCTTGAATCGGGCTACTGCAATCTTAGAGGATATTGGTTTCCAGGAAAGCAAAGCGTTATTAGACCGATGGCTTAAAGCACGTGCTACTCCGTGTTGACCCGACGTTTCGTTTTCGCTGTGGTACAGCCAGTAATGGTTATCAATACCGGGGATTTTTCTACTGATTTCAGAGAGGTGGCTAATATTTAGCTGATACTCATGCAGCGCGCGTATTGTTAGTGCTCGACTCCCGGCGTCTAAGAGTGTTCTTACATTCCAGAATCCAATGTAAGAAGTTTTGCATAGTTTGAGGTGTCCAGTGCGCATAATTGTCGCCCGGACTACTGGAGGAGTACAGGGCGCATCGCTTCCCGGGAATGGCGTAGCATGATTAGCAAAACAAGTTCAGTGAATATCCATGAGTTTCTTGGGATTTCAGTACAGGAAACGTCCCCAGCGTCATCCGGCTTTGGGTCGAGTTGGCATCTCTAGCCTTTGCACACCAAGTGCTAACTGCAAGGCAGCAGGAAGGTGGTGCATGGTTGCCGGTGACCCTCTGGGAGCTCATAAGCCATTGTCAGTTGCTAGCTGAACAGGGATCCATGCATCCCTGATGAGTACCGAGTCATTGTCTCGGCCGCTGAGTCGTGAAACCGACTTTGTCAGCATAACACGTACGTTAGACACCGACTCGGCGGGAGTCGAGCGGTTTACTGGGGTGTGGCCGCCATTGTATCCAAACAGCTTTTGGCAGCCACAGGCAAGAGCTGAGCACCCAGTGGAGACCAAAGAATGGAGGATGCCCCAAAGGAGCCAACAGCCCTCCGAGTCAGAGGTGCTAATCCTACCGGGTACACCATACGCCCCTGAAATCTAACAGCCTGTGGTTAACTGAGTCGAATACTTTCTGGAAGTCCAGGTAGCACACTTCGACCTCCGTTCCCTCATCTAATTTCTGTGTTACTACTTCTAGGAAACATGACAGATTTGTTAGACAAGAGCTGCCTTTGATGAATCCGTGTTGGGTGTTGGAAAAGAAACCGATTTGAAGAAGGTGTGCGCTTATGTAGTCTCGCAGACTACGCTCCAAGAGCTTAGTAACGATGCTGGTGAGACTGATCGGACGATAGTTGGACGGATCCGACTAGTTACCCCCCTTTACAGATTGGGACAACTGTGGCATGTTTCCAGTCCTCCGGAATCCGGCCCGTGTTCACAGAGTCGTTGAACATTGTGACTAATCATTAAGGATTCTATCGGTTTTTATGACGGCTGGGTGGATATTAGCTGGACCCGCGGATTTGGAGATCTTAAAAGTCCTAAAGACTCTTTCCACGTCCGGTTTAGTTATCATTAGATCTGACATGTCTTTCACTCGATCGAAGGTAGGGTAGTTGCTCAGGCTATTCAGACGAAAGACCTCTTGGAACGAGTCGGCAATATCCTTGTCGGTGGTAAGAGTTGTCCAAAAATGTGAAGGGCTTTGCCGATCACTTTCCTTGATGAGGAACGGGCTTGAGCATAGCCGAAGTATCTTTTGGGGTATTTTGAGGCCTCGTTGGTTATGGCTAGTTCATACTTTGATAGCTTTATTGCGAAGATGTTTAAAGCAAGCAAAGAGCAGGGTGCTTCGCTGCCTGTTGAACGCCATCCACGCCTGATGTTTCCTCTTTAAACGCTCATTGGACTCTAGGTCGGAACCAATGTTAATATCCCCTTATCTCGTTGTTTTCACAGGAACGTAGACCTCCGTGAAGAGTACAATGTTGTCCCTCATTCGGTTTCAGGTGTTCTATATAGAGCTTAAATTGTCCCAGCACAGTCCCTCCGCTCCGTTGACCAAGTCATCAATGTTGATGTTGTGGAATCTTCGAGTTCCAGTTTTAGGCTTCAGGGTTCCTACTCGATGAAATTTGAAGAACATCGGTGAGTGATCTCTTTTGCCTAAAGGAACTCCGGTTCTTATTCACTCGACGTCATTGCTGTTCCCTGTTAGAACGAGATCGAGAGTAGAGGGTACCTGTCCAGGTCTTATCCTGGTAGGTCCCATCACGTGCTGCTTCGGGGTTAGACAGTGTTGAGCAGCGTCATATCAAACCCAGTTCTGCGACATGACTGATGTGCCCAGTGGATAGTGGGCGCGTTGAAATTACCAAGAATCAAGAGACGATATCCTGATCTAGCAGCTCCACGCAAGGCCTGAAGAAGTTCCTCATCTTCTTTGTGTGACGAGCTTGGACTGCGATGGATCCCGAAAACCAGGGCGGGGGGATTCACGTGCAGATTTTAGGCTGCTGATTGAATGTTTGCCGAGCTAGCCATGAAATGCATCGCTGACTGACGGATCACTTGCCGCATTAGTAGCAAGCAACCTCCAACAAGCGAGTTAATGCTGTCGGAACGGTAATGCTGAAAATTGCGGCTCCAGTCACCGATCTCGTTTTCCTCGCGCAACCAAGTTTCCGTGAGGACGCACAGATCAACGGTGCCGAGAGTATCAGTCACCTCGTTTCTTTTGTTTAGGATGCTGCAAACGTTTATCGGCACACAGGAGAGGATCTGTGGGTAAATGCACTGTTTGGTGGTCGTTATGTTGGTGAAGTAATCCTCGTAAGAGGTTCTCCGTTTTTTGAAATGTGGTGCAGGGACCAGGTTCTTTGCAGTTATTGTGGGATTTTCTCGGAGGTTAATACCGTGGTGTCCAGGGGGTAGTGAGCACCCGAGATGACGGCCCTACGGGTGCGGTTGTCTGCCCAGATTTTGATGTTGATCATTGTGCTATCGATGACTGACGCCTTGGATGAGAGAAAGTCTCCTTCTTTTGCGTTACGGAGCTCCACGGGCAGCGGTCGACTGGTAGCCCAGTTTCTTGCACTGTGAGCCCCAGGTCTCACGGTGCTAAGACAGTTCAGTGGCCCGGGTGCCCATTAAGAGCCACAACATCCTTGTGATACACGGAGCAGCACGACAGAAGAAAATGAACCAATTAAGCCGCTGCAATCAACCGTCAGGTGCTGTAAACTTACTTGTAACATTCTGGATGTCCTAAACAAAGCCATATTGTTTAAGAGTAGGAACTACGAAACTATTTTTTACAGTCTAATCATTTAAAGAAATAAATTTAGTTATTGTAGCTCATTTGTAATTCACTGTTACCATAGCTGTGGACTATGGTCGATTATGTGCAACTTCGGCGTCCCATGTGCCAGCAGCAGGGACGTGCATTTTCGAAGTTGGTGAGTGACTATAGTCACTTAACAATTATAATTAGCAAGTTATTGAAAGTTGACGTGTGTGAACTGCTGGAAAACATAAACTGTCTACAAAAAGTGCATTTCTTGACATTTCACAAAATTACCTCAATTTGGTTTTGCTTCATTAATTCAATTATCCTATGTGTTCACATGATGGCATGTACTGTATGGTATACTAATTAAATTTGCATTGAAGAACAGCACATAATATCCTAGAAGACATCATTGATTTAATCACTGAGCTTATAAGATTGTGATGCATTATTAACTAAGTCTAAAAACAGCCAAATATTTTTAAACTGCATATATAAAGAAGAATGTCAATGAACAATAAATATACGTTTCTGGTGTAACACAGTTCTGGATAGGTCAGTTAAATCAGTTCAGTTCCATTCAGTTCAGTTTTCCCAAGACGAATTGTGGCTCTTGCTAATCGCGCGTTTGGTTCCTTGTGTTGTCGGGGGTTTTGTTGTCTTCTAACACTTTGAGTCGATAGTAGTTTCTGAAAGGCAGTATTTTAAGTCAATTTATTTAGTACAGGACGAAAGTGGTGGAGACCAATCGTGCGTCCAGAGAGTTGTGTTGTCAGCTGGTTGCCTTGCCTTTAAACTCTTCTCTTCAGACCTTCGTTTTGCTTTTTTCTGGAAGGCAGAATTTTTAATTATCAGTATCAGTTGGTCACCAGGACCGTGACGGCAATTACCAGAGTGTCCAGATTCTTGCACTGCTAAGCTACTCTGATCACCGGGGGCTACGACAATGGGAGGTAAAGTATCACATCCACAAAATATGTATTAATGAAATACATAGATAAAGAAACGAACTCAACTTGTTACTTTGTCGCCTCTCAAGTGGCCAGCTCCGGAAATACCGCATCCTAGCACAGATCCAAGGCTTTTGAAAGGCCACCACGCTTGAGCAGCTTATGATAGTAGTCTGTTCCACAAAGGCACCACACGGTTCGTGAAGAACCTGGCCATCATCTCCAACCTGGGGTACCCAGCTATAAGCTGTGACCTCTCGTTCCATAATCCGAAGCAGGAAAGAAGAGGTTGCTTAGTTCTGTACCCGACAACCCTTTTAATACCTTGAAGACTTCAATCAAGTCGCCCCTGATCCTTCGGCGTGACAGTGAGAAAAGATTCAGATCCTGCAGATGCTGCGAGTAACTCTTTTCTATCTGTCCAGTGACCTATCTGGTTATCAATTGTT